TTTTTTGTTGGTTTAGAGATTCCGAATAGCGGGGATTCTGGATGTTTATCCTACCATAATGGCCAATAGTGAAAAGCTAGTTCGAGTGGGAAGGGGAGGGTGCAGGGGGCACTCCATTGTGCTCCGATATTGAGGATAAGGTTAAGAGTTCCTTTTTTGACACTTAAAGGCAAAGTTCGGGCTCAGACCCACCTAAGAAGCCCTTACCATGGCTAGAAGTGCTGGGTACGCAAGTGCAAAGGTAGCGCCACCTTTCTACATCGAAACGCGTCACTAGGACCCTAGGCGCCATGGACTTCTAACAGACTCCACCAAACTTAACATGGTCCGCCCACCGATATGGTCTTTATTAGGGTATGGACATCCTTTCTGAGCGCAAGGGTGTAGGAGCCCAGGGTGGACGATCACATGCCATAAATTGCCTAGGATGTGAGCAGGATGCGTGATGTAGGGCATACACCGGTCCTTATCAAAAGTGCACTTCAAATGAGTCGTTTACCTATTACCTTCTCCATAGGATTTAAGTTTAAAGAAATGCTCTCTAGTACATACCACGGATACAATAACAAGGAAAGCACCCCCTCCCCCTCTCCCCGAACTGGACTTTCACCTAGCCAATTAAGTTCATCTCAGAGCCTGCGCTTAATTTTTGGGTACATTCGGAAACAGTTCTCGGCACTGAATTGAGGGTCTGTTTGGCCAAAATTAGCAGAATTATGCCTGTTAGAAGCGTCGTCCCACCTCTAGCAGTCCACTACTTCCGCCTTTACAATTACATGTTGTTGCGTCCTGTATTGTGCTATTCTGTGTCCCTCTGCTGTGCTTTCTACTTCAAAGGCAGCGATTACGATAAATTCAAGAAGGGTTTATTGTGACGTGGTGGTGCTCAATGGTACGCCAGTGGCGAAAAAAGCAGAAAAATCCGTCAAGAAAACGCAAAACGGGACCCTTTTTTGGCCGTTGGTTTTCACTCATGAACAGGTAACAGCTCAGAAAGTGGACGTATGAACGAGTTCACCGCAACGCGTTTGATGGCACCATGCCAAACCACGCTCCAATCGAGATGCTCCATTTGCGCCGCTGCTGGCCACGCAGCTCGTCCAAATCAACAAGTAAACTGGTGGGCGGATCGCTTTTGGGGGCGGAGCGCTTTCGAAGTCCTCAGCAACCAGCGCACCTTTCGTTGTGAAAGCGCCACACTTCGCCTTCTTAACTTCGTAACAGCCAAGTAACTGCTTCGTGCGATGTCCTGGAGCGGAGTATCGAATTTTCTAACTTTACAATCGACTTTTATCGAAGCGGGTATGAACATACACATGAACATCAGAAACACGGTGCGAGAATTTGACTTCTGCGCTACATCTCTTAAAATGGCCGTCATTAAAAGCGTCGACAGGATAAAACTAATGTTCGTACCTATTCAGTCTCCTCTGGGCGCATAACATCCCCAGGTCCAAACTCCATGGGCTCAAGACGAGCAACGAGGTCTTTGAGGAACGCTAATTCGCAACCCTGAAATATCAGTTTTGGTCTCATGTTTTCTTTCCTTTTCAATTTGTCTTACTTCAAACAGCTGAGAGCTAGGCAAGAATTGACCACTGCATATACTTGTTGATCTAAACAACACTCAAAATGAAGAACGTTAATACGTAGCCATCCAAAAAAGATTCTAGCAAACCAAAAAAATTTCTAGCAAACCGAGTCTAGACTTGGAGAAGGCATTCGCTGCTTTCATCTGGTCATTTTTCTCTTGTTTTAGTCATCTCAATGTTCTACAGTACTTTAGATACAACGGCGCTGAAATTCCGCGTGCAAGTTTCTGAAAAGATTTTGGTAAGGATGGTATCATCAGCGAATGAAGATACTGATAGTATGAATGACCACGTGCAAATAATTTTGCTAACGAGAAGTGGGTCGCATTTGTTCAGAAGGGCGGATTCAAACTGAAAGATAGAATCCTTTAAACAACCTACGGATGGTGAGTGAGTAGTACACTAAAGAAGAAAGAACCATGAGAAACGGCCCAGAACCCGAGAAATGGGACCCCTTCCTTGCCCGTTGATTTGAGCATTGATGCGACTCTCATCGCTGTGCCCTCTTCAACACTACGCTCTCTCACCTATCTAATCACTCGCCACGTATAGACCTGCGGCGAGTGATCAGATGATCGGTGGGCGTGCACTGGCCCACCGCGCCAATTGAGCCTTAATAGGTCGCCGAGGTCAACTCCATTTTGTTTTATTTCCTTCGGTGCAATTGCGCTACAGTACGCACGCGTTAGTAGATCCGCGGTCCTCAACTAGGTGAATTAACTCCTTTTCGACTCATTACCAATCGTGATTCGTCCTTTAAATGCATTTGGTACGCAGATTGACTATAAACCAAAACTGAAGGTAATCGTGGCAGTCGTATGGTTAAGAAGCAAGAGAAGCGGCTTGAAACTGGCTTTACGAGGTCTCATTTTGTCTCTTGATTTATTGAAATTGAACGAGATCTCATGATATCTAGCTGAGCTTGTTGAGGTGAAAGCACTCCCTTTGATTTGCAAAGAGGTAGGGTGCAAGAGAGGGAAGAAAGGTTGGTGCGTCAATTTTCAGGGCAGAAACAGAAAACAAAAGATCGAGGGACCAAAGAAAGAGGTTTCGTTTGGAATTTCGTGTCATTCTTGGAGGCAGCGCATCACATCAAGACTATTGTGTGAAAAGATAGAAAAGCATCCTCGACTTTCTGCTCTGCTGATAATCGCTTTTGCATCGAACTTATATTAAAGCTGCAGCTGTCGCACATTCTGTAGGGCTTCTATGCGCAGCGCGTCGCTTTTGCACTGACCGTGAGGTGCTCCGCAGATCACGAAAGAAAGGGAATAAAATTCTCGAGAGAGGTGGACCCCACTCACCAAATTTATCTCTATTTTTTGGATCGATGATAAACGTCTAATGGTGAGTGCCAATACCCTTAGAGGCAGAAGTTCACGTTGAAAGTTAGCTCATTGGAAATAAGGGAGAGGTGGTTAGTGAAGCAGGGATAAAGAAGAAACCATGTGAAACGGATCCAAAACCCAAGAAATGGGACTCTCTCTTGCTCGTTGATTTGCGCATTAATGCGACTCCCATCGCTGTGCCCTCTTCACACGCTGCTATGCTATCTATCATTCGCACACGTATACAGGGGGAACATTTTGCCCAGTCGGAATTTTCGGCTTTTTTTCTTCGCCGAGATCGCGTGGTTGACGAAATTCTCATAACAGTAAATTATCCTCTAAATGTCCTCTATAAGTACACGCAGGCCCTCCTTCACTACCCTCACCGTCTTCAGAATATGACGTCATCTGTCACCGTCGTCGAGCTCAGGGAGGCCTACAGTAACTGCTTCAGCCTGAAGCTCTTACATAATTTCTTGGATCGATTCAACGTGGGATAGTTTCCTAGGGACATTAGCTCTATGCAAACCCCCTCGGAACCCGCCCTTCGGAACCCGTCGTAACGGTACACGATCAGTCGAGAACCCCATTGAGCTCGACCAGAGCACCATGTTTCCGGGGCAAACTTTTCTGATGCCGTCCACGTAGATGGCCACTATGAAGATTTTCTTATGAAATGAAATGCGCTCTTCAATTCTAAGTTGGGAGCACACGCTTTGAGCTGAGCAAAGTGTGATTAAATCCATTTGAGTCTGGAGACAAAATGTCTTTTTTTATTGCCCTACCCCGTATATCTAGGGCGTATGAATTAGTATGGCTGGGCGCACCCGGCCGACCGGCCAAGAGTGACCATGCTAGATGCCGAGCCAATTCTTTGTGCCGCCCCTACGAGATGTCCGTCGTCTTCCACCCTACGCAATTTCCCTCTTTGACCTTCCTTCTTGTCGGGAATTCCTCCTTCAATTATGCTCAAATTCTTACTCACTACTAACCTGTATGTCATGAACTGCTTGAGTCCGTCCATTCTCTGCTGCCAGTCCGCTTTCACTTTATTTGCTTTCGCCACCAAGTCACCAACACTTCCCATGATCCCGGCGAAGAGAACCATTCCAATGATCGTGTCCAGAATTTCGAACACCGACTGCAGCGTTTCATTTGGAGATGGCTAGAAAGAGATTGAGCATATTCATCTTGCTTCATGCAGTTCCAATTTTCTAGTTTGCCACCTGTTCTCCCAATGTTGTCATCGTTAATGCTGACCAGTACATTGAGAGCACGTATGCCTTCGTGAAGGTTGAGAAGCCAAATTTGACGGTTCTGAATGTTCTCGTTTGAAAAATTGCAAAACAAAAGATAACCCATCAAGAAAGAAAACAAATGTGGAAGCTGTCATGGAGATGTTGGTTTATTTACAAAAGGTTTAACCCAAGGTGGATCTAAGATTATTAGTGGGAAACCTACGAAGTTATTAAATCTGCTCAAATAAAGGATAAAGGATAAAGCATTTGCCGTTGATCAATCCCTTTTTGGGATGCGGCACGCATTCTACTTCCATTTGTACATTCGTAGTGGCGTTTGAATGCGATGTGGCCTATACAATGACTTGCGGGGGCCAGCCGATGTACAAGTCAGTGTTTTTATCCTCCCAGACAAGTCTGGTACCAATTAACCGACCCCGGAGGGATGGAAGGCTTGGTTGGCCCGGGCGACTCAGGATTTGATCCCCGGACCGCGCGCCGTGATAA